GAAGGGGAGAAATTGTTTAAAAACATACTCTAAAGTAAAATCAAAGAAACTAATCCAAGCCCTGGCCAGTTTGGCTCAGCGGTTAGAGCGTCGGCCTGCGGTCCGGAGAGACCCGGGTTTGGTTCCCGCTAAGGGCACGTACTTCGGTTGCAGTTTGTCCCCGGCCCTGGTTGGTCGTGCGGGTAGCAGCCACTCGATGTGTCCCTTCACATCGATGTTTCTCTCTCTCTCTCTCTCCCTTCCTCTCTCTCCCTCCCACTCTATCTGTACAAAAAATGGAAAGGTGTCCTCGGGTGAGGATAAAAAAAAAAAAAAAAAAAAAGAAACTAATCCAAGTCACAGGACCATATCATGAAACAATTTCACCAGAGGTCCAAAGTTCAGCTTCCTTTACTACTATGAAAACACAAAGTTCAAGTGAAAACTTCTCTCTACAGAAAAATAAACAACAGGGTTATAATCAAGAAACAGGTAATGCCATGGCCGCTTTGGCTCAGCGGTCAGAGAGTCAACCTGTGGTCCAGAGAGACCCGAGGTTCGGTTCCCACTAAGGGCATGTACCTCGGTTGCAGTTTGTCCCCGGCCCTGGTTGGTCTTGTGGGTGGCAGCCACTCAACATGTCCCTTTCACATCGATATTTCTCTCTCTCTCTCTCTCTCTCTCTCTCTCTCTCTCTCTCTCTCTCTCTCCTTCTCTCTCCCTCCCACTCTATCTGAACAAAAAATGGAAAAATGTCCTAGGGTGAGGATTAAAAAGAAAAAGAAACAGAAACAGGTAACTAGTTGGTTCAAGCACAGGTGGAACTAAAGATTCTCCTAGAAGCAGGAAAGTGCCTAGGCGAAGTACTATAAAAATACTAAATAAGAATTCACTAAGAAATTCCCTGACTGTCTCATGAAAAGCCTCAAATTAGGAAGCATATTTTAAAGAGTTACTTTCAAATCCCCATTTACGATTATAACAAAAGAAACAAAACCCTAAATCAAAGCTAAAGACAGCCACTGCCAGAAAGAACCTTCGTTTAGTCATCTGGGTGATGGTGCTGGCTTTGGCTCCTCTTGACATCTCTCAGAAGAAAAGGAGAAAGCTGGAAGAATCAGTGCTCACCCCACAGCCCAGCCTCCCCACCACCCAGCTCGTCCCTCGGCCACAGACTTTGTCAGAAGAAAATATGAGATCATTCCCTGCTATTATTACATCTTAGAGCGATAGTTGTTTACTCTTATATCGTGCTATAAGTTTACTCTTATATTGTGTCTACATGACATGTTATGAATATAGTTTAATAAAGAGTTAGTAACCAAGACAAGAGACACTTTTCAATACCTTATTAAATTTTAAAAATCCATTTCTTTCCCAAAGTTTAGATAAAAGGAAAAAAAAAAAACAATGTGCAGGGCAGGTTCCTTTCTAAATACCTTTCCTTTGTATTTCCCTGTTTTCCGAATTTAGTCCCAACAGTACGGAATCTTTGTCTTCTCTGGAGATAATATTTATGTAGTTTTTAATCATACTCAAAGTCCTATGAATAACCTCTTCAAGTCTTTAACTTCTAATCTGTAAAGTCATGTGCTTAACCTACAAAAGTTCTGCTATTTTTTTTTTTTTTATCCTCACCCGAGGACATTTTTCCATTTTTTGCCCAGATAGAGTGGGAGGGAGAGAGAGGAAGAGAGAGAGAGAGAGAGAGAAACATCGACGTGAAAGAGACATATCGAGTGGCTGCCACCCGCACGACCAACCAGGGCCGGGGACAAACTGCAACCGAGGTACATGCCCTTAGCGGGAACCGAACCCGGGTCTCTCCGGACCGCAGGCCAATGCTCTAACCACTGAGCCAAACTGGCCAGGGCAGTTCTGCTATTTTATAACAAATGTTTAAGCAAAGCCATTTAGCATAATACTTACATGAGGCTATAGAAGTTAAGAATATTATTTTTAAGAGATTAAAAATTTATAATTACAACTTGCTTAGAAACAAGAATATTAATCTTAGGTAACACACTGTGGTATCCTTTAGAAATACTGATGCAGACTGTATCTTTAAAAAGTAGGTGTAGTGCCCAGCCGGTGTGGCTCAGTGGTTGAGCATCAACCCATGCACCAAAAGGTCGCCAGTTTGATTCCCGCTCAGGGCACATGCCCACGTTGTGGGCCTGATCCCCAGTGGTGGCTATGCAGGAGGTGGCCAATCGATGTTCTCTTTCATTGATGTTTCTCTCTCTCCCTCTCCCTTCCCCCCTCTCTCATATCAATAAAGAAAAAAACAAGTAGGTGTAGTGTGGCCAGTGTGGCTCAGTGGATTGAGCATTGTCCCATGGACAGAGAAGTACTGGTTCAATTCCCAGTCAGGGCACAAGCCCGGGTTGTGGGCTCAATCTCCGGTGGGAGGCATGAAGAAGGCAGCTGATCAATGTTTCTCTCACACATCAATGTTTCTATCTCTCTCTCCCTTCCTCTCTCTCTTAAAAAAAAAAAAATCAATAAAAACATATTAAAATATAATTTAAAAAGTAGATGAAGTATGTAATTTTTACTATTATAAATTAATAGGGAATATAAATTATTCCCTTTATTTTGGCTAAACATTTAAAATAGGACAGTACTTGCCCTGGCCGGTTTGGCTCAGTGGTTAGAGTGTCGGCCCGTGGACCAAAGAGACCCAGGTTCGGTTTCCGCTAAGGGCACATACCTTGGTTGCAGTTTGTCTCTGGCCCCATCAATGTTTCTCTCTCTCTCTTCCTCCCTCCCTCCCTCCCACCCAGTCTAGCTGAAGATAAATGCAAAAAAAATGTCCTCAAGTGAGGATAAATAAATAAATAAATAAAATAGGACAGTGCCTGCAGTTGTTCAAGAGAGTAACTTTTAAAATAGATTTTATTTTTGTATTATTATTATTTTTTAATTCTCACCCAAGGATATTTTTCCATTTATCTTCAGCTAGACTGGGTAGGAGGGAGGGAGAGAAGGGGAGAGAGGGGTAGGGAGAGGGAGAGAGGAAGGGATAGAGGGAGAGAAAAGGGGGAGGGAGGGGGAGGAAGGGAGAGAGAAAGATTTGTTGTTCCACTTATTTATGCATTCATTGATTGACTCCTGTATGTGCCTTGACCAGGGATTGAACTCAAAACACTGGCATATCGGAAGGATGCTCTAACCAACTGAGCTACCCAGCCAGGGCCAAGAGTAAAATTTTATTACTATAAAAATGTCAACTACATTCTGGGGAATATGATGTTTACAACACAAGTAATGTTACTAAATACCCTCTAAATTTTAATTATTTTCTTAAATTTGGTATAAAGATTGAGAAAATATATAATACACAGACCAGACTAATATTAATTAAAGATACATCTCCCCAGCCCATAAACTTCCTCCTCAATCAACTTTTAAACTATTTATGAAAATAAGTTATACTCTCACCTATGCCCCAACTAATCAAAGCAAAACACAAAGCAATGATGCCTATGTTCTCATTATTCCCTGACTCACAGGATTTGAACCAAATGGCACCTAGACCAGTAAGTGCTGTGTATATAGTACTTTGCCTATTACAAACAGAACCTTACTGGCTGAATTATAGCCCCAAAGTCCTTCCTTTACCCTTCACATTTGGCTCTGAAAGTTTGAGTTAAGAATTTTTGAATTCACAAAACTATACCAGAAAAAGAAGTTTAAGTCTGCCAAAGTTTTAAAAATTAACAATAAAAAGAAAACCTCACATAAACCAATAAGCTTAAAATGAATATGATGGAATAGACCATATGAAGAAAATCTTAGTTTAAGAGAGCAGGAACATGTGAGTATCTGTGTATAGACCACCAAAACATACACACATGTATATTGCACCACCAACCATCAGCTGCAATTAAGCCCAAAGACTATTAAAGAGATATTTCCAAAGTGAGCTGATGAGAAGGGGGGGGGGGGGGATTATAAGGAAAATAACATGTTAAATTTTCCTCCAGAATTTTCTAGCATTTTGCAGTGAAGGAATGGAATGATTTCTCTAGCCCAAGTCACAATTAAGCAGCCCATTATATTTTGATGCACTATATATTCAGTAGAGAACATTCAGCAAAAATAGTCTGATTTCTAAAAACGTTGTAGTCACACCTCAGAAAACAGAACCGCATTCTACCAATACTGAAACCGACCAACTCTGTTGTCAATTACAGATACGTAAGGACTGTTACATACTATCAGATTTCACTGTTCACAGGCTGATCCAGGCTTTGCAACTGACAGAAATGTCATAAACGTAACGTGTTTTGCAGCAGATTTTACTAGCATAAAAGATACAGGGCAACAGGGGCCCTTTTACCCACTATTTCAACAAAATTCTGTAAAATCAAAGATATACAAAAGATTTTACTCAGCGAGGCACCTAGGTCTTCTTCCTTTGAATCCCAGACTATTCAACAGCTCCTTGCAGGAACACACCGTTCGGTCACATATCACGTACTGTACACGATCGGTACCCAGACACCTGAACCACCTGGGCTGGCAGAGTTAAGCTGTCTGCTCCGAGGTGTTGCTAGTGTGCAAGAAACACTGAAGCAGCTAAGCCCTCTCAGGTACACTAGGTGTAACCCTGGCACCAAGTGCCTCCATAGTAAAGATCCTTTTTCATGTTAGAAAATGCGTCAGACTATTCCAAAGGCAATGCTACAATCATAAGAACCTTTTCCACAAAGGAGAGCAGAAAAGGGCTGGTTTTCTCTAGAGTCAAAAACTCTGCGTTGGGAGACTGCCAATGTAGGCAAGGAGCTTCTGGGCACAATTCTGTGACAGCTCACAGAGCAGCCCAACCCAGCCAGAGCTCAGTTTTCCCGGCGGCAAAATGGGATCACCACTGCCACGCTTCCCTTCGAGGGAGTCCAGCACACCCTAGAGGTCTAAGATTACCCGAGAGATAAGTGGCGGGAGGGGCCGCCGCTCCCTGGACGCCCACCCGGACCTCCCCTCCACCCCGAGACAGAAAGGCAGGGCCGGTTTACCAGGCTTCACAGTCTTGAGACGAATGGGCTCGCGGAAGTGGCGAATGACAGCCAGTGTGTCCCGGTTGGTGAGTCCGCTGACAGGCGTCCCGTTCACCTCCAGCAGCACATCCCCGGGGCTGGGTGCTTTGCCCGAGACGACGCAGCAGGTGCCCCCGCCAGGCTCTTCGCGGAGCCGCCCCAGGTAGGGGAACTCGCCGCGCTCCGCACCGCCCCGGATCTCCGCGCCCAAGTCGCCCGGGGGCCCGGCCCAGGACACCACGCACTCCTGCACCTTGCTGAGCCAGTGCTTCTTCTTCTTCAGTGTCTTCGACATCCCGAACCCCGCTGCACCATGGGGGAGACCCCGCTCGGGCGGCGGGGGCCCCGGGCGGCCCGCGCAGCCCGGCGAGGGGGGCCTCGCAGCTCCGGCGCCCCCTCGACCACAGCCCGCTGGGAGTCGGGCCACTCCAAGCCCAGAGACGCCCCTTGGACTCCCTTCCCGGCTGCGCTCCTCGGGGCTGGCGGGGCTCCGCTAGGGCTACCCTGGGTTAGATTGCAGAAAGGAGAAGGGAATTGTCCCCAGGCGGCTCCAGAGGGGTTTCGGGCGGGGTCACAGGCGACCGCTGGCCCCCAGGGCTCTGTGCCCAAGCAGCCGGGAAAGCCTCAGGCTAAGGGGCGGGAGGTCAAGGGAGAAGAGCAGGGACAGGAAAAATCCGTCGGGGACAAGCAGAAGCACCCTAGACTAGTCGCTGGATCGATCGTGGCCGCTGCGGAGCTGGAGCACGGAGACCAACGCCTGCCCAAGCTGCCAGGAAACTGCCGCTTTCAAACCCGCCGCAACCTCCTCCTCCTCCCTCTACCCTTCCCCCCGCCCTCGCCCAGCCCTCACCCGGGGCCCCGCCCCCTCCCGCCGCGCGGCGCCCGGCGCGCTGCCGTCACAGGCCAGGCGCTTGGGAATGAGCTCCAGCTCTCGACACTCGAGCGGAGGATTGGCCCCCGGTGTGCAGGGGGCAGACCCTCGCCGAGAATGGGAACCACCGATTGGTTGGTTGGAGTGGAGGAGGCGGGCGCTAGTATGACTGAAGTTTAAAGAGGGTAGAAAAAAAGTTTGAAGAGTGAGGGAGGGCCAAGGGAGGGGTAGAAGAGTGGAACCGGCTCCAGATTGCTGGCCAAGAGGCCCTCAGGCAACGGCTGAAGCCAAGAGAAAACTCGGTTAGGAAGAGAGATCCAACTCCCTGAGGTGGAGGCGTGGCGGGCAAGCCGGGCGGAGCCAGGGGCGGGGCCTGCAGGAGGGGCCCTGAGAAGAGCGGCTATACTTTGGACCTGAGACTGCTTGCTGAATCCACGGCCAGAGATGGCTGGGCCTCTAGGGTGGCCTGTTACAGCTGACCACGTACACCGAGGCAATGTTTCTTGTTAGTTCATTCATTCGAAAAATGTTACTGAAAGCCCATTGAGGCCCGGACTCCGGAGTCCTTTTGATGATAGGTAAAATAGAGTCCAGCACACTGCTCTGTGTCCTCGGGCGAATTAGACCACCTCTCTGAGCCTCTGCACCATTCATTAGCTGAAAAGTGGAGATAATTCCACCCCTCCAGGTTGTGGGGAAAAGGATATGCGGTGCATATAAAATATCAGCATAGTGCCTACCAGGGGCGTGGATGCCTCTTAACCATTTGGTAGCTGATGATGATGACGACGAGTATTTTATGACAGAAATTGTGCTAGGTACTGGGATTCATGGATGAAGAAAGCAGAAGCCCTGTTCTCAAGGTCACAGTCTAGTAGGAGAGACTGACAAGTAAGCAGACTGCCTGAAGAGAGCTAGGGTGGAGTGGAGATGGAAGGCGGATTAGGAATGATCCTAGTAGCTAGCAGACCTGGGTTGGAGTCCTGGCATGCTACTTCCTTACTATTTGACCTTGGCCAAATCTCAGCTTTAAGCTTACAGTCTGTAAAAGAAGTGGAGGGAGAAGAAACATTGAATAAAGGACATCTTTAGTCCATTCCAGCACTAATTTTTCAGAAACTCTTCTTGAGCTCTCTTCTTCCTGGCTTGACTCACACTCATCTCCATCTTTAAAATTTTTTTATTTTATTTATTTTACAGAGAGAAGAAATGAGAGGGAGGGAGAGATAGAAATATCAATGAGAGAGAACATCGATTGGCTGTCTCCTGGATGCCCCCCCACTGGGGATCAGGCCCACAACCTGAGCATGTGTCCTGATCAGGAATCAAACCAGCAACCTCCTGGTACATGGGTTAACACTCAACCACTGAGCCACACCAGCCAGACGGACGATCATCTCTGTCTTTTAAAAATCCTATCCTCTACAAAATTAACGTCAAGAAATCGACGGCATTCTTATACACCAATGATGAACTCATAGAAAGAGAAACTAAAAAAACAATCCCATTTACTATCGCGGCAAAAAAATTAAGATACCTAGGGATAAACTTAGCCAAAGAAGTAAAGGACCTATTTGCAGAAAACTACAGGACATTGAAAAAAGAAATAGAGGAAGATATAAAAAAGTGGAAGCACATACCTTGTTCATGGATTAGAAGAATTAACATCATTAAAATGTCCTTATTACCCAAAGCAATCTATAGATTCAATGCAATCCCCATCAAAATACCAATGACATATTTCACAGAACTAGAACAAATACTTCAAAAGTTCATATGAAACCAAAAGAGACCCTGAAAAGCCACAGCAATTTTGAAAAAGAAGGACAAAGTAGGTGGGATCACAATACCAGATATCAGGTTATACTACAAAGTGACTGTAATCAAAACAGCCTGGTACTGGCACAAGAACAGGCATATAGACCAGTGGAACAGAATAGAGAACCCAGCAATTGACCCAAGGCAATATGCTCAATTAATATTTGACGAAGGTGGCAAGAGCATACAGTGGAGTAAAGACAACCTCTTTAATAAATGGTGTTGGGAAAATTGGACAGCTACATGCAAAAAAATGAAACTAGACCATTAACTTACACCATACACAAGAATAAACTCAAAATGGATAAAAGACTTAAATGTGACTCATGAATCCATAAAAATTCTAGAAGAAAATGTAGGCAACAACATTTTGGACATCATACGGAGCAGAATTTTCACTGATACATCACCTAAGGCAACAGAAACAAAGGGAAAAATGAACACATGGGATTACATCAAACTCAAAAGCTTCTGGACAGCAAAAGAAACAACTATCAAAATGGAAAGGCAACCCACTGTATGGGAGAGCATCATTGCCAATGATACATCAGACAAGGGGTTAATTTCCAAAATATATAGAGTACTCATACAACTCAACAAAAGAAAGACAAAGAACCCAATTAAAAAATGGGCAGAGGAGCTGAATAGACACCTCTCCAAACAGGACATACAAATGGCCAAGAGACATATGAAGAAATTCTCAACATCACTAATCGTCAGAGGGATACAAATTAAAACAACAACGACCTCACACCTGTCAGAATGGCCGCCATCAACAAATCATCAAACAACAAGTGTTGGCGAGGGTGTGGAGAAAAGGGGACTCTAGTACACTGCTGGTGGGAATGCAGACTGGTGCAGCCACTATGGAAAACACTATGGTGTTACCTCAAAAAATTAAAAATTGAACTTCCATTTGACCCAGTGATCCTGCTTCTAGGACTATACCCTAAGAAGCCTGAAACACAAATCAGAAAGAATATATGTACTCCCATGTTCATAGCAGCAATAGCTAAGATCTGGAAACAGCCCAAGTGTTCATCAGTAGACAAATGGATAAAAAAGCAGTGGTACATATACACAATGGAGTACTATGCAGCTGTAAGAAAGAAAGATCTCTTATCCTTTGAGACGACATGAAGGGACCTGGAAAGTATTATCCTAAGTGAAACAAGCCAAGCAAAAAAAGACAAATACCACATGATCTACCTTATATATGGAATATAATGAACATAACAGTCTGAGGAATAGAGTAGACCCAGAAACATGGAAGTAGGGTACAGACTGACAACAGAAGAAGAGGTGGTGGGGGGTGGGAAGAGATAAACCACAGAACTTATATGTACGCATAACCAATGGACATGGACAACAAAGCCGAGGACGGGGTGGGGGGCATGGGGAGGAGGGTGTCAATGGGGTAAAAAAGGAGAAACATCTGTAATGAAAATAAAATTTTAAAAATAAAAATCCTATCCTCCTCAGCCCAAATGCCATCTCTTCCAGGAATCTTGTCCTCGGGATAGAAAGTGTTTTCTCTAAGCTATGATGTTTTGTTTCACTTTTGCACACAACATTTATGTAGTCTCCTGTCTCCCTTTACTGGCTAGGGAAAGCCCTCAGTTAGGCTATGAATAACTCCATAGCATCTCCCCCCATTTCAGACAGACTGGGCCAAGCTTCAACAGCTGCAGTGATTTTGTTCACACCACTGTATCAGTCAGGGCCTAGCAGGAAACAAATGGTACTTTACAAAGATGTGGGCAGGGTGTAGGAAACACAAGGGAATGTGGAACCCTAGGGCTACAAGGTCTGAGATCTGTAGAAACAAGGCGAAAGGAGCAGTTATGAAACTCAGCACAGAAAGGGCAGCCTGACAGACGCCTGTGACCTTTTGTCAAAGGAGGGAATCACCCAAGGAGGAAGCTAGGAGATTTAGATCTCACTCACCTCCCTCCTTCAGTCTTGCTGGTGCATCCTGATGGTCAAATCCAACCGGAAGCCAGAGGGCAAGAGAGCCTTTTGATGCAGTTCACATCAGTCAGACACACACAGAAGAGGAAACTGCATCTGGAGAGAAAAAAGGGGGAAATGTTCAGTACTGTTACGTGGATTGCTCAGATTTACCCAGATCTGAGACAAAGCTGGAGTATTTCTTTCTGAACTACTACCTACTCTAACGGATTCCTGGATGAAATCTTTATAACCTCCACATCATCTGTTTTTGCAGCAACTCTGAGAAAACATCTTTCCCTGCCCAGATTGTATCCATTAGAATATCTTTGGCCACAAGGAATAGAATACCTGACTAACAGTAGCTTAAAGTACTAGGTCATTTATTACATCTTTAACATGATATTCAGATATAAGCATTGCTAATCACCTTTACAATTCTGCATTAAATTCACCCATCTTGGTAAGCTTGGGCTCAGTTTTTTAAATACTCTAGAAATAAGCTGTCCACCCCAGTGAATTAGTTCTGGTAGGATACTATTCTGGAAATAACTCCATAATTAAAGGAATCACATTACAAGCGTCTGTCTCTGAAATGGCACCTAACCTAATAATCCGATTGTATTGAGATTTGTCACTGCTTCCCCAAAACTAATGGTTGGCTGAATAGTTGTGATTTCCACTGGAGAATATT